GATGTCACCCAATGCCATAAGTGCCACGCCTGCCACGCAAAACCAAGGTGGATGTGAGTTTGTGCCACGCCTGCCACGTGAAATGATGGTGAATGTGTGTGACAAAGTTGGTGTGTGAGAGAGGTGTGTGAAAGATGGTGTGTGGGAAAGTTGTGTGAAAGATGGTGTGTGACAAAGTTGTGTGTGAAAGATGGTGTGTGACAAAGTTGTTTGTGAAAGTTGGTGTGTGACAAAGTTGTGTGTGAAAGATGGTGTGTGACAAAGTTGTGTGTGAGAGCGGCAAAGTTGTGTGTGAAAGATGGTGTGTGACAAAGTGGTGTGTGTGTGAACCATCTGGAAAGATGTAAAGCTTCTAACTTAGCAGGGGGCCGCTGGGGAACATTGCAGTCAGCGGCCAACGAAGACGCTGCAATGTTCCTGTGAAAACGTACCTGCAATTTTCCAGTTTTTCGTCAATGGCAGCCGGCTAAGCCAAGAACCGGCATGTCGGTTTTCCAACAGTTTTCAAACTACTGTACGGTTTTCGCAATCTGACTGAGCTGCATCAGAACAAGTAAATCCTTCGAGCAAGGACGTAGAAAGATTTCCTCGCACAGTTTCTCACTTCCAATCATCAAACCATTCCTGTCAGGTTTAACTGAAGTGTTTTTGCACGTGCGATGCATTCCACATCAGTAATTCGATAAGATGTTTCTGAGCAAGGGTGTCACTCATGCCGATATCCTCCAAGGTGGTATGAGCCCTTCGGGGAAAGCCTTTCTAGGCTAACAATTGACGGTAAAAACAATGTCTGAATTTACACTTTTGAATTAGTAATTCGTTTAAGTAAAGTGAACAGCCGGCCTTTTTTCCTTGTCTCAACCGTCGATGTCGTTGTGTTGAACCGCTGGCCGCTGTGCTTGGCCTCACCCTTTTCCTTTTCTCATTTGTCGATGTCGATGTGTTGAACAGCTGGCCGCTTTTCCTGGCCTCACCATTTTCATTGGACAGCCAATGCATAGTCTTAAGCTGCGACAACAACCTTCCTGTTGTTTCAAGAGACAGCCACTCCGCAGCCATTTACACATGATCAGGTAACAGGACATGCTTTCAAGGTGTGGTATCTTTCTTTTTTGGTTTCTCGGTGAGGTTGAAATTGTGCACCTAATTCAGGGGTTGAACACGTAAGCCGTCCAGAGGGTTGTGACTTGAATGCCGAGGGCCTTTGAGCCTTATCACGAATTCTGCATGCGTTGTGGATGCATCATGTCATTAACTAGTTCCCCATGGGTCCCTATTTCATGTGTTCTTGCGTTCTCCTCTCTCCAGGTAGGTTTGGCCCGTTTCGTGCTGAGGTTGTTGTAGGTTTGCGCCGTGTCAGGTTGGTTCAGGCGCTTCTGTCTTCCCCCTCCTCCGCTGGTCTTGTTCCGTTTTCCGTCGGCCTCCGCTTTTCTTTTCTTTTCCCTTGCCTTTCCAGGGTTGCCCGTTTTGGGCTAGGTTTCATGTGTTGGTGTTTGCTCTTTCCCTCTTCTTTTGCGTTCCCCTCTTTGCGTCCTGGTTAAGTAATTTTCATCTCATTGTCATCTTCACCTCATTTCCCTTCTTCTTCATTTTCATCTCATTGTCGGGACCTTAATTTCCCACCCTCCTGCGGGAGGGTGTGTGTGTGAACCATCTGGAAAGATGTAAAACTTCTAACTTAGCAGGGGGCCGCTGGGGAACATTGCAGTCAGCGGCCAACGAAGACGCTGCAATGTTCCTGTGAAAACGTACCTGCAATTTTCCAGTTTTTTGTCAATGGCAACCGGCTAAGCCAAGAACCGGCATGTCGGTTTTCCAACAGTTTTTAAACTACGGTACGGTTTTCGCAATCTGACTGAGCTGCATCAGAACAAGTAAATCCTTCGAGCAAGGACGTAGAAAGATTTCCTCGCACAGTTTCTCACTTCCAATCATCAAACCATTCCTGTCAGGTTTAACTGAAGTGTTTTTGCACGTGCGATGCATTCCACATCAGTAATTCGATAAGATGTTTCTGAGCAAGTGTGTGAGTGTGTGTGTGTGAAGTTATTGTATGTTAAGTTTGTGTGTGTGTGTGAAAGTATTGTATGTGAAATTATTGTATGTTAAGTTTGTGTGTGTGAAGTTATTGTATGTGAGAGATGGTATGTGACAAAGTTGTGTGTGTGTGTGAGTGTGTGTGTGTTAAATTTATGGTATGTGACAGTGTGAAAGGGAGGCGGCGGGG